AACGCTCGCGAGCTGCTCACATGTCTTACGTTATGCGATCTCTTCGAATGCCGTTCGCGCGCCACTTACTATTAACTTGTATTTAATTGCACGCATGCAGCACGCATGCAGCACGCGTGCAGTGCACGTGCAGCGGAAGCCTGGCGCATTCGCCAGATCTATACGCACCCTAAGATATATGCTAACCACACCAATGAAAATCTGAAACGGCTGTAATCCGAGTGAACGTTCATCTAACACTTAAGAAAATACTATGAAGGGTTAATAGAGAACCAAAAGATGCGTTATAATATAATAATAATAATAACGCACACACTCAACATAGCCCCCCACTCTGGAAACCCTGTGTCGCGGGCCCATGGACACACACATAGACAACCACAAATTACACCCAAACTAACGAGAGAAATAAATGTAGGCCATACAAATTTTTCTCCCACCCGGGAATCGAACCTGGGACTTCTGCGTGGCAGTCCGGCATGGTAACCGTTCGGCCACGGAGGCAGTTAATATGGGCAAGTTTAAGGTCGCAAGGCGCTTTAACGCTTAAAGACGTTTGCGAATAAACCTTCACCTTCCAGTGGAACAATACAGACATATTGAACAGTATTATGACTTAATAATGATAACAACAAGTAAATCAACATGTTTATAAGTGGAAGCAATGTGAAAATTGAACAACTCCAGCTAATATCAGTGAAATTAGTTCGTTAACAGAGGTCAAGGCGCATGATAAGCTTGTATAAATACGCTTATCGGAGAACGTGAAGTATGCGAAGAAAAAAAAAAACTGTTGTGTTGCGTGTTTTTATGCTCCAATAGACAAAACATTCGCCTTACTGGGGACGTGTGGCTAATCTAGGGTTTTTATGTGTAATCTTAAAAAATTGCCGCTCTTTTATATTATAACAGCCGAGCTCCTTGTAAAAGAGTTCGTCATCGAGTATATAACCAGAAATAGAGACGAAATAAGGGCCATATATTCCTGGTAACACATTAGCGATACAGCTCTTGTAAATATCAACTCCCGTTTGCATTGAAATATAGACAGACCCACTACTGACCTGTGTATACGTCTACGTATATTCCAAAAAATATTCTGTATTTATTGTATTAAAGATAATATCTCTAACAATGCCGTGCTGTTCTATTCGGTGGTGTATGAAAAACTGCAAAACGTCTAATTACAAAACAAACGGAATCACATTTCATCGGTAATTAAATATTAAATATGTAATTTTGCGATTTTCGTCCATTATAGCAAAGCTCAAGTTAACTGGTCGATTTGAAGTGAAACAGTTGACGACACCCATTGACGACACCCGTCAATTGTTTCGAACTCGGGCTAGCCAATCGGAGCGCAGTGGTCACAGTAATGATGAATGAATGGCAGAATAGTTTTCAAACAAATTAAATGACATTTCGTCTCTATTTCTGGTTATATACTCGATGGCACGACCGAAGACGAAGCGGGCTGTTGCAATAATTTATTATGTAGAACTCTACATTAATTAAAACTGTAAACATAAACGTAAACTGCGTAAATAAACAACAGCATTAAGGGCAACTGCAGTTTATTAAACCTGATAGTGATAACTTTTACCAAGGAAAAGTCTTTGCAATCGCAAAAGTGAGTGTATTTATAGTGTCGCCATCTCTGAGGTCCCGAGTTCGATCCCCGGCCGGGTCAATATAGAAACTCATTTTTCAATATTGACTCAGGTTTGAGTGTTTATGATTGTTTCCAATTTCCGATTTGTGTTATTTTTTATGTATGTTTGTTACGCTACAACTCCGGCCAGCATTTGTGAACCGATTTAGATGATTCTGTTTTTGTTGAAAAGAGGGTACCTCTGTAGTGGTCCCATTTCAATTTTAAGAAAATATACCACCTCTAAGGGTGGCAAACTAGGGGATGGATCCGGTTTCGCGCACTTTCCGGTAACCGATTTCAATAAAACTTGGCAAATAGACGTAATTCCACGAACTTTTGAGGTCGGTTTTTAGTAGTACTCTGTGCTGAGATTATTTATTTTTATGATGCAAGTGACAGGACGAACAAGTCTTTCACCTGGTGGTAAGCGACACGCCTATCCATAGCAGTTGCAGTACCTCTCAGGGCTTTAAATCAGTGCAGTATGCAAATGAGCTAAAGTTTAATTTACATTGTCATGGAAAGGACTGGATGCGATACGATAGCTACTGGATTCCCGAGTCTGCGCGAGAATTCTCCGGAAGACGCGCAACCTGTTTTTTGGCTCGTATCTAGTCTGCACGTTACACAGTTGTCTTAAATTTCATTATGCTATGGGTACAAAAATTTGTTTTCACTCCCGTCCGCGGCAATATGAATAGAGTCTAAGAATTGTAGTGAAATAACTATCGTATAGAGTAACAGATATAATAATATTATAGTTAACGTGGAAGGAAACATTCTTGTGGTCTCAGATTAAATCGAGAATGTTCTTAACACTTTCATGGACAGTTACTTTTCTTGACGTAGTGCTTATATTGAATCAATAAAACGTTCAATATGTAAATCATTGAAATTTGGCAATACGTTGTTAACTACAAATAAATCACTTGGCAATCGCAATGTAAAGCCTGTAATAGTCTTTAGATCCATATCCGTACGTACCCCATACTATCATATTCTAATATTTAATTGTACGGTAAACGCTGTTACTGACTTTGAATGGGTTAAAACGGGTGAAGTTCTTAGTGAGGATAATAACAGGGCGTATGTATGTATTAAGTTGGTGGATGTAAGTGAAAGCAAAGAAGGTTTATCTGGATCGTACCAAGTGAAGATCGGAAATTGGGAATCCAAAGGTGTGAATTTATTGTATGTGTGTTTTAATAGAGAGACTTCTCTGAAATCTAAATGTTCATTACCGATTTATCACATGGAGAAGTTTATTTTTCTTACGAAGGGTGTTACATTGTTCTTTGCTGGCCTCGAAAAGAAATTGTTTGGCTTTGGAAGTAGAATAGGATTTGACCGGAGAAAACATAAAATTCCAAAAAAAAAAACAGTTGTAGCAGTAGAGCTCCTTGTGAAAGAGTTCGTCCAGGGTAGTACTGCCTCCTTACCTATCTCTGTTGCCAAGCAGTAATGTGAGCATTACTGTGTTCCGGTGAAGTGTAAGGTTGCTGGTGAAATTACAGGCACATGGGACTTGTCGATGAATGTTTCAGGGAGACATCGCGGTGGCAGTGGCCCTAAGATCTTTGCGGTTTTAAGTTTTCTAAAGGCACGGCAACTATAGGCGTACGACTTGTTCGTGCCATTACTTGGTGTTATATAAAATAAATTAAAAAAAATTCTCTTTGTAAGCATAATATCATTTACGGATAACAGTATTCTTTGCTCTATCGCAGTCTATAGCAAAAGATATTCTTATTTAACGGGTGGAAGTACCCTCTTTCGGTATAACGTGGTCAAATAAACACCCCTTGTAAAGAGTCGTTACATAGTTAATGAATAGTGACAATAATACATTAACGAATATGTTGAACTAAATTAGGAGCTGCGTTTGCAATCAGTCGGTTAATTATTTTGAGTCATCGGCTGTAACGGCGCCGGCAAACGGTCGGCGACCTGTATTACCAAATGTTTTGGTTTTGGGTTTCGTGACATGCTGTAATTATTTGGTATGTTAATATATAATTGTTTGACAGATACATGTATGTTTTTGGATGAACTAATTTGGCAGGTGTTTTGTTGCTCTATAAGCGGTAGCAGCAAAATTTCGACACGCCTGTCCTTAACAGTTGCAGAGCCACTCAGAGTTTTAAAGTGCAAAGACCTGAGGGGTACTGCTTACTGCGCCCGTCACCCTGAGACATAAGTTGACGAGTCAATTGGCCATTGGTGTAACGGGCTGGTGTCCGCAACTCGACGTCAAGGCGCCTATTTTGCGCCTAAGTTGACGAGTCTCACGTGCCTGTAATTTTTCACCAGCACCCTTATCAAATGGAATGCCGTAATGCTCACATTACTGCTTGGCGGCAGAAATAGTTAAGAAGGCAGGATGGCAGGAAAGGTCTGATCTTATTAGATCTAAGTCGAAATATTTTTTTGTATAAAAATTTTACGTAGAGCTAAATACGTTTAGTATCATAGATTTTTTTAATTTGAATTAAACAAGCAGGCGACACAAGCGCAGCTATTTTGTATGATTTAACCTTCATTGGGTTCACGGAGCAGCTAATTCATTAATTTCTATATTCATTAAATATAGATAGGTTATAATGAGAGACTGGGGTCTGAGATAAATAAACCCAGTGTTACGGATCACCAGGCCACTACCCCTCGGGCATAACAATAACATTGTAGATAAATATGTTAATAATAAACCATTCTATGAAGGTTTAAAATATGACATACAAGTTTACAGTGGTACAAATATATTCTTCAAATGGACACACAATTTTAATTGAGAGTAATTCCCTTTTCAAAAAAACATTACATTTTTGTTCCAAAATACAGCAATGATATTTTAAAAAAGGAATCTATCTCTTCTCTTCTCCCTCTTTCTTCTCTTTTCCCGTGTTCCTTTTTTAAAATATCGTTCCCATATTTTGATTTATAAACAAAGTACTTATACATTTTTTTTAATGAAAAAACTAAAACTTCGACTTTGCTACAATTAAGATTAACGAATTTATGTGTCCAGTGCGTAGAAGCTGAATGTGTCAGTAGCCTGCCTAATTGCATGGAATGCTCATAATTATCAAATGCATTCGATAAGCTAATTATCACCACATTATTAATGCTGGTAATGTGTCACGTGAACATTAGTCGCATTCTTTTTTTATGCGGTTTAATTTTCACTCTTATTTTTAAAGTAAATAATAATTAAACCGGTTGTTACTTTTTGTTATTAAATGTAAAAACCGAGCAATTTTTAAAAAAATTGGAGAGGCATAAATTAAAAAAAAAATGTTTTTTGTAATTCTTGTAACTAAAAAAAAACTAAAAAAACGTAAAAACTTACCGAAATAATCTTTTAGAATCTTCAGTCAGACGCAATTGACGCTATCATGTCCAGTAAAGAAAGTTCCAAAATAAATTTTGACCCTTATTTTCAGGAATTAAAAATAAAACTCAAAAATTCACAAAACACAAACACAAACAGGCACAACAAAATTTAATCCAGTGTCATGAAAGGAAAACACAAAATCGGGAAAAACAAATCGAAAGTATTTTTCAAAGTTTTTAAATATCGAAGTTCGAACGCGTTCGAAAATATTATGAGCGGGAAAAACAAATAACGTTTCAATGGCGCGACGGGTGTCCGTCGACTGAACGTATAACCAAGTCTCCTCGCTGTGAATCGAGAAACAAATTGAATGCAACTCACTCCCACATTGAAACACCGGCTTTCGGCGGATGTAGTTTGTTTATTATTGTTATTTAACTTAGTTGTTTGTTAATGTGACGAAAAAAAATCCGTCTGTATGAAGAAATAAACATACCTTTAAATAAGTTTTATATTATTAACGTAAAACAATTTTTTTCAAACACGTAGATTTCTCATTTTACTTTAATCTAAAAATCAAACATAAATAACCAAAACATAAATAAATCATGTACATAATAAAATATCTCAATTTAAATTTAAAATAAAGGAAAGAAATAAATAAAGTTAGTTTTTCTACTCACTAATAGATGGCGTTAAGTGTAGGAGCTTCGTCTATCCGATACAAGATGGCGCTAGGTTCACAACTGCAGCTATATTTTACGCAAATGCGTATTTACATAGTGTAAAAACACTACATACAGATTTTAGGGATGCGTTTCTTTATACCAGTGTCAGCCACTTTTAGATATCATCGGTATTTTGAAAAAAGGGCGCAAGAGACGTTTTGTAGTTTTTTAAGGGTGCTTGTTATAACGACTATTTTAGATCATGTTTAACGATTGTTTTAAAATATTTATGCCCTGTTTTAAAATTCAATCTTGGTTATAATCAAGTTTATGTTTTAATATTGAATTCAAGTTTTAAAATTAAGTTTCTAAAAAACACCAACTTTATTAGATTTCTCTAAAAAGTGGGACTTGTCATATAAAATATGTAATATTATAACCGGCATGTTGTGGTGGGTTGAAATTGTACCATCCCTGTTTCTGACGCCAAGCAGTATTGTGGCCATTACTGCATTCAGCTTTTCAGAATCGATACCACCTCAGCTTGAATTCTAATGTTTCCCGTACTAATACATTTCATTTTGCTTGGCAGAGGCACTGACTTTATTTCAGAATTTACTTTTTTAACAACGAAATTAATGCCATTTGAAAAGTGTATATCGTATAGCACTTATACGTGTTCTATTTAGTTCAGTTGATATAAAAAAAAAATCATTGGTATATATAAATTACTTATTCAATACAGCGGTTTGTGTTTTTATTTCTATCGTGAAAATTTTTAGCAATCGTGTTTTCATACCGCAGGTATATTAATCATTGTACATCCTCTATTTTACTATTTTTTTTTCCAAAGTGAATGCGGCATCAACCAAAGCCTGAGGTTGTATCGACTTTTAAACGGTGAGAAATTAAAGACAATTGGGATTTTAAACCTTATGTCTTACGGTCACGGGCGAAAAGGCAGTGCCCCTCAGATCTTTGCAATTTAAAGCTTATCACACTTGTTCGTCCCGTCACTTGATGTGACAAAAAGAAATGCACTGTGAGACACTGCAGCCCGTATTCGATAGTCTCGACACTCATGCGAAGATACAGTGTAGTTTCTATTCATAACTGGGAACAAAGGAAACATAAAATTCAACCAAGTGAGCAATCGGATGCAATGAACATTATGAATGGACTGTGTTAACTTACCTCATACACGTAATCAAGTCTGAATAATCACACTTTATAAGATATAATACGAGTTTGGGAAGTAATAAATCGATATTGATTTTCTTACTTAAGTTTCTCGGGAAAATCGATCTCACGCATGATTAATTAGAGTTTAATCAGTGTTACGATTTCAAATGTAATTGACTTGTCTATTAAAAAAAGATGTTTTTGAGTAAAAAAAAAGAGCGACCTACCGCCTCTGAAGCAGAGGTCCTGCGTTTGAATCCGGGCCTCAGTTTTTTTTTTCGGAATTTACGCGCGAAATGTAATTTGCAAACATTGTGGTAAAACCTGCGCGTCAAAGTCAAAGGTCAAATAATAATTTGTTCCATAGGTAAAATGTTTACACTTTCCCAGAGAAGAACAAGCAAGAAACTCTAGGGATTACTCTTTTCAAAAAAACTTAAATGCTATGCAACACACTTTGAATCGTAATTGTGTGGAATCTAGACTCTTGTTGTTTCCCATACTTCTTTATCTAAAACATACTCTTCAATTTTGTAGTATGACTTTTTAATTAAAATATGATTTAAGAAATGATAATCTTAATATATTCTTCGGAATCTTATTGTAAAAACGTACACAGTTCCCCATAAAAGAATCGTTTACCTTAGTTAAACGAAAACGTGGTCCCATGAGTTTGGATTTAGTTCTAAGGTTAATATTATGGATATCTTCTTTCTTAATTAAATTATGTATATTTTAGTGGCATACAAAGTATTTGAGTAAATTTATATTAAATTTATATTTATATTATATTTGTATTTAACTTTGTTATATATATTTATTGTTTTTTATGAGTCGTCAACTTCGTACCTTTCTATCTTTATTTTTTTTTCGCAAGCAAACGCGGTGACAAGGGGTATTATGCAAGGTGTTATGAACAAGAAGAAGAATAAAATACGTTTATTTGCCAGAATACAGTATTTATACAGATCTTGTGTAAAATTAGGTACATTGTGTTCAACCTGCTCGCAGGTGTGCAAATGATAATGGTATTTCACATTTGTCTCTACAATTACAAATCAGTTTGCATTTCGAATTAATATCAATTGGTGTTTGTAACTTCTAAATATCTTTATTACTTTAGAAGCAATGTGTCAAAAGCCATTTTGTCAATTGTGATTTAAAAGTAAGTCCTCGTAGTGACTTAATTACATTAGATAAATTATTAAAACTTCTTATATAAATTGAAGCAGTTATTATTATAAACGAGTTTATGGCTTACTGGGCTGCGATCGCTCACCATATGCTACTGGCAGAAAACCAGCACTGTTTGACTTCTCTCGGTCTACAGTATTTATGCTGAGTCAGGGCCATTTCAGCACAAACTGTAGTCATAGGTATATTAAAATTTTATCATTTGTTATAGTATTTGTTTGTTTTTCTCACAGTATTTGTTTTTCTCGCAATATGTGTTTTATATAAATGTGTATAAAATTAATAATGAATGTTCTATGTGCTTTTATGTTATACTCTGTGAAGTGATTGTAAATGTTTTGTTTCTGTTTGTATTTGTGCTGAATAAACGTGTTATCTACCTATCTATCTATGTCAATTTCTTTTCATTTTAAATGATCTTTGATGTCATATATACACAGATCACATAACAAATGAAATAATTTCTTTTTAATTATGTTTAAGGGTAAGTCTGCGATCGCTGCAGGCAAAGCATTATATATCTTAAAAAAATCTTTGATGTCATATAAACACAGATCACATAACAAATCAAATAACTTTTTTAAATATTTTTGTAGGTAAGTCTACGATAGTAAATAATAATCTGTGGAAACTTTTAATTAATCCTCAGCTTACTTGCATTGGTTTGTCAGACATGTATCACACTTACCATTTTGTTCTTGATACCTACCCGTAATTTTTTTTTAATTAATAAAGATATGATAAAATAAAATAGACAGGCGTGTCGCTTAGCACCAGACACGCGACTTGTTTTTCCCGTCACCTAATATCATAAGAAAAAGACATGAGCTTATCGAAGCTACCACGCTCAAGACGTACGGTAATTACAACGTCGTGATAGACTCATCACCGTTCGCAGAACGTAAGCCGGATGAGAACTGGTCTTGATAGTGATCTGGTATTTGATGTTAGAGCTCTAAATATTTACGAGAATGCGTTTTAGATTATTGCTTTTGAAGACGGGTTAATTTAAGTATCGGTTAGTACCGAGTTAGTTAGTAGGGTTCTTTTTCTTCCAGAATAATAATAATGCACACACTCATACCCCCGCACTAGGGAATTCAGATAATATATATACATATATGTATATATAGGAGGATGAATGAAAGAAGATTGACGTAACAGATTTATAAGGCGAGTGTTAGCATGTTGGTAAGGGCCGACTGAGGCGAAATTACCACGAACAAATTGAGGACGCGCTAAAGAAAGGAGTAACTTTGAAATGCTTTATCTACCCGACTCTCTACCTGAATTCAAGGGATACTTGGAGCGTTTGCGCGTTTAGATTAGTAGTATATTACTCCACATATGGTGCACTAAGATCTTAAATAACATATAGGTCCGTATTTCCGAACGATATTGTTAAAGCCTTTAAGTGTATTTCCAAACGATATTGTTAAAGCCTTTAAGTCTATAAACATAAAAAATACTGCTGATCTTGATGGTCTTTCAGTCAGAGTAATTAGTTCTATAGTTGATTGTATTGCGCCTTATTTAGCCTGTGTCTTTAATAAATGTGTTGATGATGGTGTCTTTCCTGACCTCATGAAGCAAAGTAAAGTTATTCCACTTTTCAAATCTGGTAGTATTTCTGACCCCACCAATTTCAGACCTATATCAATACTACCAACTCTCAGTAAAATATTTGAAAAAATTATTCTAAATCAGATGTGTGCACATTTTTATGGTAATAACTTAATGTCTCCTAAACAATTTGGTTTCACTCGGGGCCGCTCTACAACCGATGCTGGTGTCGAGTTGATTAATCATATATTTGATGCATGGGAAGTCTCACATGATGCTATTGGTGTATTCTCTGACCTTTCCAAGGCTTTTGATTGTGTGCACCATGATACACTGGTCAGGAAACTTCGCCATTATGGTGTGGCGGGACGTGATCTCGACCTTCTTAAATCGTATTTGCGTGGTAGGGTACAGAGGGTCGATGTTAACGGTACGAGATCGTCAGGATCTGCAATTAGCATGGGTGTCCCTCAAGGTTCAATTCTAGGCCCATTTTTGTTTTTAGTTTATATTAATGACTTACCTAGCCTTATGGAGGGTGTAAAACATGAGATAGTATTGTTTGCTGATGATACTTCCTTATTATTTAAAGTTAAAAGGCACCAATGTTCCTACGACGATGTGAACAATGCTATATCTAAAGTAGTTGATTGGTTTGCTGTTAATAACCTACTTCTTAATGAGAAAAAAACA